GATTGCTATACAAATTTTAAATATTCACAAAAACATTTTTTGCAATTAATTTACTAAAATAATAATTTGACAAAAAAGTTAAAGTTTTGAAAATATATCCCAAAAGTGTTTGTTTTAGTGCTTGAGAATGATTACTATTAAATATGGAAATTGAGTACAATATTTGTACTGAAAACAATTATTCTTCAAAAGTTAAAATTGATTACTCGCCTTTACTGATTGCTATCTCTGGACTTTTTTGGTAAAAAATTGAAAGTTTTAGGCAATTTTGCGAACAATATTTTTGCATGAAAATTACTCTCTCAAAAAATTTATTTAGAACAGAAGAAAAAAGACAGAAAATATGCCAAAAATAAAATTTTCATACTTGAACTTTAGCATTATTCTTGCAAAGTGAATTTGAATTCGTATTTAAATTGGAATTTGAACTTTAGCATTATTCTTGCAAAGTGAATTTGAATTCGTTTTTTAAAATAATTACCAGAAAACTTAGCTATTTTTGATATACACGAAACTAAGCATAAATTGACTTCAATAATTTTCAAAAATTCTGAAAATGATTAAAAAATTTATCAAAATTTTATACTTTTAAATTTTTGACTTTATTTTTATTTATGTTTAGTCAACTAGAACAAGCAAATATACTTTTTTCTCTTTTTTCATGATAGAATAAACATAAAATTTGACAACTGTATGCTACAAAAAATGAGTCAGCAAAAAAAAAATTGCATTTAAAATTTAAAAGTGAATTTTTTATCAAATTAGTTTTTAAATTGCAAACATCAATTTTATATTATTAATTGAAATTACTATTTTAAAATGAAATTCAATAACAGTTTAGTAAGTTAATATATGCACTGCTATATAATTTTCTATTTACAATGATCTGACGGATTTCAACGATTTTCAGAAAATTCACAAACAGTTAGAAAATTAGTTGCAATTTTATACTTTAATGTAATTCAATCAGTTTTCTGATTTTTCTTTTCAACAAAATCTCTTACAAAACTTATCCCATCAAATAACTTCAAATTTGATTGTATTTGAAAACTAAACAAACTTAAACTTAGCATTGAAATATTCAATTTAATTACTGCTATTTCAGTACACATTGCAGTACTTATACGCTCATTTATTATTGCTACACAGTAATTTTTGATTGTGTAAACAGTAAGTATACATTGTGCCATATGATAACACCCACGCAGCCAAGCAATTAAAGTATTAAAAATTCAGACTATTTCTAAAATAAACAAATGAAGAAAAAATAGAATAAAATTAGAGGTGCGACAATTAATGATGATTAATTAAATGAAATTTAACTACGTTTGGTACAGTGTGGTGGTATTTGATAAATGAAATATTGAAGAATTTTGTTAAGCGACTAATGCAATTAACGATCAACTGATAAATTTCTTACCGTCATCGTCATTAATTCTTTGAACTGTCCCCAAGAGCAAGGCGAAAGGTTCCTCTATTTCCTAAATAAAAACCACATTTTAGCGATTTAATTTAGATGTAAAATACACTTTTGTAATTCTCATTTTTCTTTACTTCTGAAAAAAAAGCATTCAAAAATACTTTCAGCTAAAATTGATTTATTTTTAATTTCAAAGTTTCAATCTTATAAGTAATAGTAATATATTACTTTGTTTTCATGATTTATATCCTCCAATATCCGTCATTTTTTGTGCTGTATGACAAATTCTTCTGTGTATTGTTTGTGCGTCAAAGTTGCAATTCTTTCAAACTATGAATTACTTTTGCTTCACACATTGATGACGTCATTATTATTATTATTATTATTATTATTACTAGTTGATAAACAAAGTTTACAAATCTTAACAAAAATCAGAAATTTAAAATTTAAAATTAATTAACATAAAATTATTACTTGAAAAGTAGACACCTGACCTTTGCATGTGGATGAAAGATTCTTTTATGAAAGTATTCTTAAACATTTTTTTCTATTTCAAAAATTTTTTAAATTATAATTTTGATATTGCATAATTTTATGCATTTCACTTAATATTATTAGTGAAAAATAATTTAGAAAAATAGTTTGATTAATTTTTCAAAAATTAAATGAGAGTACTTTAATGTGTGAGACGGATAAAATTCGAAAACTGCCTGCATTACATTTCATTTTTGTACACAACTTTTTTATCTCTAATTTACTGTAATGCAATACTTGACATAAGTTTTTTTTATAAATTATATTTTCAAATTGATTGAAAGGCCTTTGCATGATTTTTTCATTTCAAATTAATTGTAAAACTCATTAAATGATTATGAATTTGCATATTTTCACATTTTTTCAAATAAAGTTCACAATTTAGCAAGTTTTCATGTTAATTTTTAAGTTATATAAAAAATATAATTCTTTTAATTCATACTTATATCATCGAAATATGGCTGCACTTAACAGCAAATTATTTATATTAATTTTTTTTTTCAAAAAATATTAGGAAAAAAATTCTTAATAAATTGATAAAATTTTTTGCATGAACTTTTTATACACTTTACTTAATAACTTTTTCAACTTAATTACTTATACTTTCTGAAGCTTTTCAGTAAAATTAGTCATTATAGACAATTAGTGCAACTTAATTTAAATATTTTATAGTTAAAAACAGAATAAATTTAATTTTAACTGCGAACTTTGAACTTTTTCTGATTGATAGATCAAAAAAATTCAAATTTACCCAAAAAGTATTTGTATAATGCAAAAAAATAACGTAATTTTGGCAAATAAAAAAACGACGTATAAAAAGTAACGTGATCATATATGATCAGTTGTGGAATTGAAAAAAAGTAACTATTATCTGATTAACTATTATTATAGAAAGTTTGGAACATTTTTGTTGCAAGCATTCTATCAAAATATTTTTGAGTTAATAATTTGATAAATAAGTGAAATGCATAGTTTTCACTTTATTAATGAAAAATTTCACTTTCTTGTATGTGTTTAATTTTTTTTCATATTTTCTAAATACTTTATTTTTATTTATTTTTAGATTCAGTTTGATCGATGATTTCATGCTAAACATTATGCTATTGATATTAGCAATAATTTGATATTTGATCGCATTAATTTCTAATATTATTTATGGTATTTTTCAAAACTACTTAAACTGCAATCAATTTATAATATCGATAATTTGGCGAATCTGGTGGCACTTAAAAATATCCAAAAATTAAATGTCATAATAACTGGATTATTTTTTAATTAATATACAGTACTGTTTTAAAACTTTCATAAAAATAGTTAATTGTACGAGCAAATAAATAAACAAAAAACGACGCTGGCGAATTTCGCAAAACAAATTTTTAGCAAATAATGGAAGTACATCAGTCGCTTCCAGCACAATATTTACATAATCCATATTTGGTTAAATCTGAAACAACTTTACATCATCATCATCATCACCATCATCAGCAACAGCAACAGCAGCAACAACAACAACAACAGCAACAACAACAACAATCGCAAGCAACAGCAGTAGCAGTAACCTCTACCATAACAGATCCGTCACAGTCAACTTCATCCGGTGTTTCCAGTTCATGTTCACCATCAACACCATCATCTATATCATCCAACCAACGGATAACAGCACATAATGTAGTTGCTTCCGAAAATAACAACAATATCAATGACAATAAGAATAGTAATACCAGTAACGTTAACACTGATATCAGTAGTACTGAAGATAACAGTAGTAATACTGTCTCAACATTGCGACGTCAAACTAGTAATGGAAGTGGTAAGACTTTTAAAAAACTATTATAAAAATGATGATTAAATTTAAACTTTCATTTTGCACAGAAAGTTTTTATATACATCAAACTGTTTTTTAAGCACATTTTCGTCATTAAAAATATTTTTTATTTTAAAAATTAATTACATTTATTGTTTAACACTCATTTAGAAGACACATATGTTTAAAATAAATGTTTTAGTAGGCTCATATCAATTTGTATTCTTGTGTAGAAAACTAAAAAATTTTACAGAAAATTTCACGCAACTTAAAATGGCAAAAAATTGATAATAACGATAATTATTTAGATGACTAAGTTTAATGAAGAAGTAGATTTTGACACGTTCAAATATTGCACTGTCTCGATTTTACTTACAACAGTTTGTACAGTAAAAGTGTAAAAGTCATTTTTTGCTAGAATAAATCCCACGTCTTATTATTTATTATAAATAACTAGTTTTTTTTTTTGATTTTATTGCTTTGATTTAGTTGTAACATCTGATTACCGATTGTATGCTCATGGTCTTACTAACGCTACAGTTACAGCAACTACAACTAACGTTCACGTTTCACATTCATCGTCATCTGCTATTCATCAAAATGGTGATTTTTACGTTTAAATAATTTACGCATTTATACATGTATATTATTTGCTTATGTCATTACTCTACTGACTGTTCAATATCTTGACTGATTTTTGTCCTTATGCACATTTGTTCCATTTCTGTTCCACGCATGTATGTTTACGTCTAAAAACCATATCCATGCAGACATAAGTTAATTATTTTTAGTCATTAAAATACATTTTCTTAAAAATAGTCAAATATTGTTTTTTATATAGTTATACGAGAAAATATTTTTAAAGCTTTTTTATTGAATTAGACTAAGCTAGTAAAATGATAAAATATCAATATTCAAAATTGCTGTGCAATAGTTCTGATTTTAGACGTAAAAAAAGAAATTTAAATTTGAGTGTACAAAATGTTGAAAAATTATTTGATTAAATTTGAAAAATCCCTTAGTTTAGTTTATTGTACAAGGAAAGATAATTAATAGCGTAAATAAATAAATTTTAATAGGATAAAAAATGCTTAATTTTGGTTCAATTTGTTACTTTTTCAGGGCGACCTTTGACAGCAGATCGTAAACGACCATATAACTGTAATATGTGTTCATCACGATTTGGTTCTAAAATGGAGCTTGAAGAACATCAAAATTCACACACTGGTCAGAAACCCTTCGAATGTAATGTATGCATTTTTCAAATTTTTTAAACACTTTTTATAAGTCTAACTAATTGCTTAAATATTTTCAGCGCAAATTTGCATAATTCATTCACCGCTTAACTTATTATTTATTTTCGAATCTCAATATTTTATTATCGCAAATTTTACGACAAAATGATTATAATGATTTCTATTTTTCAAATTCGATGGAAATATGCAATCATTTTTTTACATTAAATTAATATCAAAAATTCATTATTTATGCACTATTTTAATTAGCATCTAATAAAATTATCAGATTTTTATAGGTAACTGATTAAGACTAATATAGATAAATTGATATTTTTGAAGTTTACTCTACACATTAATAATCTTTTTTATATCGTAAAAATGTCATTTGTTTATGGGATATAATTAAAAATTTGCATAATAAAACTTTCAATAGAATAACCTCTAATGCATTGCATCAAAACTACTTTTGCTTAAAATGTATTCTTTCGATTATATTCAATTATTATTATTTATATTCAAAAGTAATTTTTACTATTATCATTCAATTTTGTTGATATTATCAATAATAATTAATAGGGCATATAAGTAAGACAGTTTTTAGCTCTTATTTTAATTACTCATTTGTAAATAAATGTTTTTATCAAAAATATTTTAAAAAGTTTCAAAAGTTTGCGAAGCATTCGAAAATATAAAATGATGAGAGAATTATGAATTAAAAAGTACTTTAAGGTGAAATTTTGATTAAGGATTCAGCATTTTTGCATTTGGAAAATATTGCATTTATTCAGATGTGCAAAGCAAGATTCAATCGTCGTTCCACCCTTTGGAATCACAAAAGAATCCATTCGGATGATAAACCTTTCGAATGTAACGTTTGTCGAATGACATTCAAATGGAAAAATTCATTGAAATGTCATAAGGAAATGCATCAAAGAAAGAACGAAATGACGGGAGTTGAGAACGATCCGCTAGAAAAAACGCTTACTTACGCAACCGCTGCAAAACGTCGACATGTTTGTTTTTAACTCTAATATATTAGGCTTACTTTAAATGAGTTATTTATCAATTATATCATATCATATCATATCATCTTACTTTTTATCAATACATTATATCGCCTTACCTTTTATGACTTCTGCTATCAATATATATAGTTAATGAAAAAAGTAATTTAAATAATTGAAACAAAGTTGAGTATAAAATATTTTGAAAGTTTTTTCTCAAATGCAAATTTAAAATTGAATTGCAACGCTAACTTTTTTTATCTTTTAAAGATTACTAACAAATTTGAAAAAAAGAACGAAAAAACAAATATTTTATTAAAAAATATGTGAACGCAAAGTTATGCTAGGATTTAATTTGAATGCTAATTGTATCAATATATCTAAATCTTTAATATTCGGATAATCTATTCCTTTGAGTGTCTAATAAAATAAAATATATTTATATGATAAGAATAATTATGCAACTTTTGTATCCCAGCGGTAATTAATCATATAAAGAAGTGTAAATAAAGTATTATTTTTAATTATCATTCATTTCACTAATTTTTTGAATTTCAAAAATGTAATAAAATTATACAATGTAAATATATGTAATAATGAGAATAAATCAGTCACATTTGGCTTAACTGATTTCTTAATTAAATAAATGCTAGTAGCCATTGATAAATAACTGCTGCATATTTATTTAAAATGATTTTTGAAAGAAAAAAGAATTAAAATTTGAGAAAAATTTTTTTTCACTATGCATAAAAATATTCAAAATTTTATAATTATTCATTTGTTAATTTTGACTGAATCAAATTCAGATAGAAAATCATGATAGTATTCATGCAAGTTCGAGTTCAGAAACGGGTGCAGGTCACGTACGTTTAACAACGAGTTCAGCAAGTACTTTTATTGGATTAGGAAGGCGACGCAACAATAAATTGTCTGTGCATTCACGTTTGATAGCATCTAATAATACCGATCTTATCGTTGGTACTATTAATAGTTCAAATGCTATCAGTAATTCCAACAACACAAATTCCAACAGTAGCAACAACAATAATAATAATAGTAACAATAATAATAGTAATAATAACAACACCAACAACAGAAATAATGGTAACAACAGCAATAGTACAAATAATATTACAGTCAATCATTCCATTATCGGATCGAATGAATCCTTCATACATACACCATTACAAGCAGTAAGGTTTTTAAAATTTTAGTCATAATTATTAGCAAAGTTTTATTTTCAACAACAATTTGCGTTTACAGCTTTAATTTGTCGAGAAATATTTCAAAAATAATGAATTTTGTCAGCAAAAAAATGTGCTAAAAAAGACATCACTTTAAATGACACAAATTTATAACAATATTTTATCAAAAATTAAATAATTTAAATAAAAGGTTGTAAATTATTCTAAAAGGCTGACGAACAGAACAGTAAAAATTGATAGAACATGCAAAAAATTGCGCCAAAAATTTTATAAAATCTGATATTACAATATGAAAACTGAAATGGAAAGCATTTGAATCGATGTGCTAATTTTTATAAAGTTAATTATTTAACTAATTTGTAATTTAGAAATTATTGCACGTTTTTGATTGAAAAATCGAAACATTTATAATGCTCTTTTCTAAAATTTGACTAAAATTAATTTGAAACAAATTTTCATTATTTCTTATATTAATAAATCAATATTTTTATAAATATAGTCTGAAAATTATAATTATTTGATCAAATACGATTTCTGATTTGATTAAGAATATAATATAAAAATTAGATTTCACAAATTTAATATAGAATAATAAATAAAATATATAAGTGAATAATTTTTTATTTAGTTAGGATGATTTTAACTGAAGAAGCTCTGTTTATAATTTTTTAATTAGATGACTAGCAGAACTAATGCGCAGATATCATTCTTCTCATCTTATCAGATTTTGTCCTTATTTATTAAAATGAATTGGTCCTTTCTAAAATTATTGTATGTCTTTTCAAAAGTGCCAAAATATTCATCAAGAAATTATATATATACTAATAAATTTTACTTACAGTAATTATATAATTTTTAAAAAATTTTCGGGCAAATTTACTTTAAAACCTGTTAATAATTGTTTTAAAAATTCATAAACTAATGCTTTTTTTTTGAAAATTTCAGGACGGTTTCTTTAGCAGTCAAAAAACTTTGTCAATAAGTGATCACAAAGAATTAGATTCATTACTGAATAGCACAACACGATTGACGTCGATGCTCAAAGATGATTCAGTATTTAAAAGCAATATATGGTAGTCTTCACTTCATTTCTTGAAATTTCCAAACTTTTAAAGTTTTTGAAAAATAGAAAACAAAACTGAAACAAGTTGTAGTCTCTGGATTATTTTATAAAATTAAATCCATTAATTGAAACTAAAAAATGTAAATAAATTAACTTAAAGCTCGCTGAAAAAATTATGATTATTATTGTCGTTCTTAATTATTTTACATTTTATCTGCATAACTATCTTTATTTTTAGTGACGATTTGGCCACTTTAGGAAATCAAGGCAGTGCTTTCGATACCAAGCAAGAAATGAATGTAAAATTATCAATCAAATTATCATTTTTGTTTTTTAAATTGATCTTATTGCTTTAAAAAAACTATATTATCTGTATGAAATTTTACTTTTCAGAACTTTTTAAAGCTTGTAATGATTTACTTACCTATGAACTTTGGCACTTTTGAACTTTTTAGAAATGGCTAAATTTTTGTTAAGCTTAAGCAAAAAAATATTTTGTAGCTTCTTGTTTCAAAAAAGTTTCTTTTTGAAGTATAAATGCTAAAAAGCGCCAACTAAAAGAAATCAAAAATTTTTTTCAAATCATCCGTTTTTTTAAAAAGTTAATTCCGGTAAATTCAGTCAGAAAAATGTATATTCTTCAGCTCTTCCACACACATCCATTCATGATGTTCGGTGCTCATCAGCTGGTGAGTGATTAATATTTTGAGGTGCAGCACTACATTTGTGCGGTTTATAATTTACCTAATTTCTTGTTTTTCTGCTAATTTTTAACATTTGAACTTTGTAAATAGTTGTTTTAATTTTTACTAAACTTAACAATCAACTGAGATAATCAATATTTCTCTCAGTTGATTTCCAGCTTTTAAAATGAAAACAAATGAATACAAATTCATTTTAATTGTTTAAAAAGCTTAAGTTGAAGGTTTCTCCTAAAAGTACACCAAAAATAGTGAATAGCAATGTCAAAATTGGAATACATTTATGCAAAATACATAATTTTTATTTGTTCGTCAGAAATTTCATTTAATTTATTTATTGAATAAATCCTTGCAATTAGTCAAAAAATATTTCAAGTAACGCTTTCAAAATAATTGAAAAATTTTTGTAATGTTTACAAAACTTGTAACAAAACAAATTATTTACTTGCATTCTGAAAAAATTATATCAGATATTTTGTCAATACTTGTATAAGTAAATATGAAAAGTTACAAACATTTTTTAAAACGAAATTGTCAGTCCTTAAAAACCCTTCAGTCTGCTTTATAACTGCTCTAAAATTTATAAAGTTTTCTGATTTGTTATCAAAAAAATGTTGATAAAATTTTTGGATGATTCGCATGACTACAGCTTGCGTAAATATATTATGCATATTTACAGTAATTAGTTATTTACAGCAGAATACGATGCAACCTTTTGCACCATCAAACTTGGCATTTCCAAATAGTAACAGTGGATGTGGGGAATACTTTCATCTACATCTGAATGGTCAAGCAGATCAAATGAGTCAAAATGGCCAGCAACAACAACAGCAACAACAGTTTGCATCACAGTACTCCACTGATGGACCATGTACACAAGCTAATGATATGTTAGGAAATCATAATCATAATGTAATCACTTATCAACCACAGGTTTGGTTATGATCTTTGCATGTTTGATCAAAAACATTCTTTGCTCTCTGAAAACTACAACTAAGAATAGTTCGCGATTGAGTGAAGTAAAACTATCGAGAGAAAGTAAAATCGATACGACAAAATTGCTAACGATTAATTCTTCACAAACTGTGATCATCGCCAGTACTACATTACTTAGTGATTCAGATATGCATATTCTAGATAAAGTAGCGAAATTAATTAACAGAATCTCAGTATTCTCCATATCATTTAGTGATAATGCTAAATTTGTAATTTCATTTAAAGTTCTCAAGTATTACGGCATTGAATGCATTGCTGCATTTTGTTAAGTTATTATATAGTTATACAAGAGCATACTGTAATGGGATTGATAAAAAATGATTAGATAATTGCAGCTAGAAGCACCATCATCGTTGATCACACCAGCTATGGATTACGGTAATAATTTGGAATACATGTTGAACAATTACTCATCAACGATCTCATCAGCTGCTGCTGTTGCTGCTACAGTAGCATCCACAGCAACTGAAATACGGTCAAGTACAATAGAACATTTACAACAAAGACAACAGTATACGGGACACGGTGCAACTGGTAACAGTACCCTAGAAAACAATGGTGTAGTAATTGACACCACAGGTACTACTGGAAAAGAAGTGCCGCAGGTATCGTGGTGAAGTAAATCAAATGCATACCGACATTCAAATTTTGTTTGTTTTATTGTTTGAATACATTTAATTAGTCGTCTCAGTGATACTCATTTGTAGTCATTCGTTCAGTCTATCAGTCAATCAATCACTCGTCCATTCATTCATTCGTTCATTCATTCAGTTATTCATTTTATTTTATTACTATTTACATCTATATATGTATTGATCAATTACTGGTTGAACATGCACTCAAATGATCAACTTCGAAGAGCAAAAAAATAGGTATAATTACTTGATTTTGGCTGTAAAATGATCAAACATTAGTTTGTTTTATCAAATTCAAATTATGTCAAGTTTTAACATTTGATCCAAGAGGTCAATTAAAAATTTCAAAGTAATAAGAGAAGAATTTTAGACGAAATATTTAAATAGAATTAATTATTTATCGGTGCATGCTTTCAATTCAAAACTCATTTATACACTTTATGGATCTCAAATGAATGCTTTTGCTAGCTGATAATTTTGCTTTGAACTGTCTAAAAAGACATTACATTTAAAATACCATTTCATAAACATGAATTTTCAATTACAGTATTCAGTTTTGTGCAAAAATAACTATAATTTATTTGTTCATTAAAAATAATCACTAATAGTATTATTTACTTCTTGATTATAAAATTGCAATAAACTGATCAAAAATTAATTTCATATTACCATATAAGCACTGTGTAAAACAAACGATAGATTGATTGATCTTTACAGTTATTGCAAGATATTTCAAGGTTGATTACAATTTAGATATGGTCAATAAAATCAGTTGTCATTTTGGTAATTAGCAATTGATGGACTGCTTGTAATTTGATCAGATTTTTCACGTTAAATAAGTAGAAGAAATGTGAAATCATAAAAGTATTTTCTAATGAATTTTTTTCCAATTAAAATGATTAATTTAATGAATTTTAAATATTCAAATCGATGATTGTCTCATTTGCTAGTTTGAATTCTATATAAAAATTGATTGATCACATTGTGTTGATCAGTTTTTGACCTTTTTGCATTTACAAATTTATTAAATTCATTTCCATTGCTTTTTTTTACTAAAATTGTGTTTTCGTATGAAAATATTTCTTTGTTATACAAGCAGTGAATAATTATTGTAGCATTTTGCATTTTAGGTTTAAAAACTTGCAAGTTTCATGCATTCTTTAGCTTAAAAAATTATCTTTTAATTTGTAATAACTTTTGACCTTTATTGATTTATTAAAGTACATAAAAATTAGCATGTGAAAATAAAGCTTAGAAAGTATGTATTTTTACTCATGAAATGAAAAACTATTTTGTTGAAAATTAATGCTATTAGGCTGATTTTCATCAGTCTTATGACATTAAAAAAAATTTGATGCTCACTTTTTAATCATTTACAAACAATATTCAAATTTTTTACTGAAATTTGAAATGATCATTTTTTATCAACTCTTAAAACCTTTATGACTGATACAGTATGCTACAGTAATAGCTAATAAAAAAATAAACAACGCCACAAATAATGATTATTATTGTAAAACAAAGCTTTCCTTGCCCTATTGAACTTTGTCCTTCATTTAATTAAATCCTTTTTTCAAATGCCTTCTAATAATTTTGCATAGTAATGTCATGTGCCTCATCAGTTTCATCTCTTACTTATCAGCTATTTTAAACACTGCGACTACAGATTTCCCTATAATTGTTATACGAAATAATAATAATAATAATAATAGTAATAATAATAATAATTCCAATGTGCCATAGTATTGTACAGATTTGTCTTTTTTCATTTTTTTAAAATATTTTTCAAATATATTTTAAAAGATTAACACTGAAAGAACAGTTTAGGCTAAAATGCATACTTTTTCAGTCATTCAGACATGACTAACTATGAATAAAAATTGAACTTCGGAATGAAAGCACATCAAAATTGATCTGAATTATTTTTGAATCATGTCAGCTTTTCATAATTTATGAATTAGAAGTATGAAGTACAATTTGATACTTGAAATGATGAACAAAAAATCATAATGGTCAATTTTCAAGCATACTCGTTTGATTGTATCTTACTTTTCCACCCAAATTTAATTTTTTTAAAATTATTTTTGAAAATTTTCGAAAAAGAGACATGAAAGTAAGCAGACCAGAAGTATAGCGCCAGTTTATATAAAATTTAACAGTCATAAATTTGCCAAAAAACTAATAGTATTCACGCGTTTCGGTAACTAAATTGAAATATGAAAATGTTGAAATTGATCAAAACATTCCAAAAAACTTGCATATATGCATTTGACTTTGGTGATTAATCATTGAAAATCAGAATTTGTACAGTTTTACGTAAACTAAAATATTGACGGTGTTATGGAAATATTCTTATGATCACAGTGTTTTTCCTTTTTTCCTAAACCATTTTGCTAACCATTTTTTGAATATTTTTTATATAAATATTTTTGAGGTTGCAGGCATTGAAGTTTGGATATGCATTTGAAAAATTTGCGTTTTTATTCATCATAATTTTTAATATTAATATTGTTATTATGATTATTATTATGATTAATAACAATATTATTTTCATCATTATTATCATCATTTTTACTACTATTAATAAAATTATTATTGCTGTTAATACTATTAATATCAATATTAATATTAACATAAACATTAATGTTAATATAATTAATATTGATATTATCATTATTATTATTATTTATGTCACTATTATTTGAATTAATTTTATTGATTTGTAAACTGATCGTCACGTATAACTCATTTATATCATAACGTGAAATTGTCAAAGTTATACTAATTGTCGGTGACTGCACTGTTTTTCTATAAATTCATTACAAATTACTTTATAGTAAGAAAAAAGAATATTAGTGTCATTTTACGTAGATGCTTATTTTATTCTTTTTTCTTAGCAATTATTTTTAATGGATCTAAATTCAAAATGTTTTGTTTACTTCAGCTGTTATTTAATATTTTGTTTTTACTTATATTATTGCGTGTGATAAATAACTTTTGGAATTCAAAAAGTGTCACTTTACATAAGTACTTATGCATTCTTTGCATCGAAACAAATAATTATTCAAATTCACATACTTGAAATGTAATAACTTTTTAAAATATTGTTGAACAATGATTCATTTCTGAATTTTAAATGTTATATTTCTGATGTTTAAATTCTATCCAGTTCCACTTAGCACAGGAATCGTCAGTAATGTATTATCAAATACGACTTATGGATGAGATTATACTATTGATTACTTCACCAATCAATACTCTAGAAATTATTGTTAACAAAATGTCATAAATGATAAAATTATATCAAGAATTATTTTCTGTGTATTTAGAAAAATTTCTCCTTACAGTTGACCAGCATTCAAAAACAATCTTGCGCTGTTTATTTCAGAATTCATACCATTAAGAAAAAAAAGATTTATATTTCCATTATTTTATTCATTTCAGTCAAAAATTTAATTTCAACAATACTAATTAGTAGAATTCGATTTAAGCTGCTAATATCATTTGTAATAAGTAAACTCTGAATAGTTTTGCAATTTTTGACATTTAAACTAAACATCAAATTGTTGCATTCATACCATAAATGATAATTTAACACTGATTTATTTGAGTTGAAACCCACGATTGTGAGTTTATCAGTTCTTAGCAAATGAACGAAATAACTCTTATTCTATTCAAATTATTTCTTCAGCTATAAAATCAGTAAATAATCAAACTAATTCAATTTGATCACATCGAATATTGATGCTCGTAGATCAACTATATCGAAATATTTGATACTCATAAGTTTGATTATCATATTTAAATTTACGTTTCGATCACTTTTTTTGATCTTCTTGGTAGTATTGTTGATAATTTTCCCTGAGTATTTTTTTATAGTCTTAAATGACTTTGCTGAGAAGTCAATTAATATTTGCAAAGTCATTTAAAATCAAATGCTGAATGGTTGTTCCTTTGAATTTAACCAGCCATCACTTTCAACATTTTATTAATGCACATTACACACCAACTACTTCATTTATAATTTTAGCAGTATTTAAAATAACAATAATTATATTAAAATTCATTCAACTTATTTTTTCGAAGTGCTTTGGTCCAATTTTGGCTTCACGCTTCTTTCTCGATGTTGAATTTGAAAAGTGACAACAAAATTTTTCAAATCAGGCAATTTCATCTGACGTGATTGTTGACGATAGTATGCTTCTTCTTCCAATGGATCTTCAATATCGTCGTAATCATGACGTATAGGTCGAATCTCAGTCCAGTACCGTTTCGCTCGAACTTTTGGCATTATTTTTGACTTTTGGCTTGCTGGTGATGATTCAATCTTACTTTCGTCTGCATCGTATGTTGCGATGATAATAGTTGATAAAATCAGTATAACAAGGGAACCTTAAATTATTAAAATTAGTTTCGAGATTTTAGCTCATATCACCAAATAGTAATATTATTTAATTATCATCTACATAACCATAATTAAACAAATTATTTGAATAATACTAGTTGGAGGATTGCAAAGATTAACGGCACTTCTAGTCAAGGATGAATTACAAATTTGTGTGAAACGTTCCGAATTTTTAGTATCAAATCGATAGACTTCAATCTTTCTGTGATGATAAATATTTTGAATTTGTTGAATTTAATGAAAATTGTTTATTAATACAGTGAATTCATGAATGTTGTGAATTATCTTTGCAACTTTTTAATTTTAAATATTATATGCCAAACTTCTATATAACTCACGCACGTTTACAATTTTTTAAATTAGACAAGTTTTATGAAAAAATAAAAGATTACAATATTCAAATTATTTTTAATTTTTTACTAATTATTCTAGAAATGGGCGTTAGTGGTGCGTATCACTGATCAATGATTGTTCACTTGAATTTGTCGTATAAAATTGATGAAGTTTAATCTTTCTGTTATGATAAATATTTTAAGGCATTTTGATCAGTTGATGAACAAATCACTTATTAATTTTGGTGTACAAATGTGATTGAGTTGAGATAATTATACAGTTTGTATATGAATTTGAAGTTATTGTTTATTGGTTTGTATTTTCTCAGACTTTATTTTTTTTATCCCATTTGAGAGTATAATTTTTAAAAATTTGCTGGTAGTAAAGACAGAATTTATTATCAAACTCTCTAAAAAATTAAAGAAAGAATCTCCAATGTAATTACAGAAATTTGAGAAAATGCCTTTTGTAAATTATAAATTTTAATAAATTGCACTGAAGATATCAGAAAAAATTTTTTACAACTCGTTGCTTTTCAATAAAAAACAGTTCTTTTATTAATTCAGTATTATTTCAGGAAGAGCAACAAATTGAATAGTAAAACAACAGTTTTGATTAAATAATGATTTGCACTGTATAAAAAATTTAAAATTTTGGAAAAAATAAAAGTTTTCAAGAAAATAATACCAGAGTGAATTGGAAATCGAACAAGAAATAATTTTGCAGCCATTTTTGATCTGAAAGTCACTACAAATACTTCTAAACAGTTCAAAACAAAGTATAATTACAAAACTAATTGAATTAAACTAATCCAAATCCTAAATTCATGTCTTTGAAGTGTTGCTTTATTGAAAAAAGACTTCAAACAGACACAAAATACCGTTTATAATACCATTTATCCATATCCAATTATCAAGCTATAGCCTCAAAAACTGAACAGGAAAGAAAAGCATATTTTGTTGAAACCAAACTTTGTTAATGTATGAAGATTAAATAAACCTTCAACTATGATAATATGATAGAACGGGCTTGAATTTATTGGTATATTTGTTGAATTTTTTTCAGTTTATAGCATAAAAATGTTTTGTTGAGAAAGTTTTCTGAATTCATATGCTAATTTTCTGGCATACTTTGAAATGCATATAAGTTTTGTTCAGACACTGTAAGCACGTTCAAAGAATTTTTTCCTCTATTTTTGCTTATTTCCATAAAAAGTTTTGGTGCAGGAAAAATTGACACAAAAAAATTTTATTATCGAAATTTCTGTAAACAAAACTTCTGGTACCAGGCTTTCGAGTAGTTAATATTCAACAATGCCTGGCATCACACAATTTCTTTGAAAGAATTGGATAATTTATTTATTT